TTCCTCCTTACAAAATATCTTATTTTCAAAAGAAAGAGTCTTTCTTTAATCACCAGCTTGATATATCCAAATAAATATAAATGTTATAACTTGGGTTATAAAGAAACTTTCAATGCAGACCTATTCTCTAGAGGTTTTGCTAAATGAACATTATTTTCTGTCCTTATTAGCATCTGCGTTATAAAGAAAAAAAAGCCATAGCAGTCTCATCGGGGATGTAAACAGTACTTTCAGATGGTTGTTTCTGTTTTTTTGGATTAACAAAACAATCAGTCTTGCTATTTTTCATCCTTATTCACCTACCTCATTTCAATGTGGCAAACTCCAGTTAAGATAAGACTTGCGGAACTGGATTGTGTACCCAGGATGTGAAGGTTTGTCATTCTAATTATATCAGTCTCTCATAAGCCTCTAAAGAGTCCTCTTCCAATTAAAAAGGTAAGAGCCTGCATCAGAAACCTATTTGTCCTACCACCGATCAAGTCAAAGACAATTCAGCTCTGCTGGAGGGACTGGTTAATAGCGATAAAAAGCGAGATGCATTTTTTTTTCTTACTTTGCCAGTGGACTTTGCAGGGAAAAGACTCAGAAATGTAATGCAAAGGAAAAATAAAAAACAATGTTTACAAAAAGTGGAGAGGCCTAAAACTGGGCTGACAGCAGGAGAAGTAAGATAGCAATATACATGGAAGGAAAACAAAGAATATTGAGGAAGGAAGTGAGGTACTAGCAATATATAGGAAATTAATTTTAACAAGTGGAGCAGCAAAAAGTTACAGAAATATTATACCTTAGTAAAGTGCACCATGTTATGAAAGCACAGAAACAAATTCCTCCCTGTTTCTCCTTTAACTAATAATACATTCTTAGCTATCATACAACTAATTTGCTTCTGTGAGTATTTTTAAACTATTTTGAAAAAAAAATTACAGTTAAAAATACTTAGCAAATAATTAAAAGTATTTAATTTCAATATATTACTTCTGTCAATATTTTCAAATTTTGCTTCTATGAATGATTCTCCCATACATTCTCCTTCTTCCTACCAATTAGACCCCTCTGAACTAAGTCATGAAGACTTGTTCGGACTGCTTGCACTTTGCAAGTCTGAATGACTGAAACATTTTGTTGAAAGGAATATATATTTAATAATATATAGAGATAATCAAATAATATATAATCAACCAAATAATATACAATCAGACACTGAGAACATGTTATTTTCCACAGTGGTTCCACTTCTGGAAGGATTTTTATACACATATAAAAGTCATCTTTTCCACTGTGAAGAATCTAGTACCTAAATGCAAAGAGAACTCTTTCTTTACCTATTTCTTCTATATACACCTTGAATTACGGAAACCACATTCCTCTCCCTCATTATTCTACATCCCAGTTAAATGACTAGTGAAATGTGCTAGTGAAATGGTATGAGCTGCCATGAAATTACAGAAAACCAGCTCTACATTTTCTCATGAACAGGTGAACAGCTTTCTAAGTGCTTAAAAATGTATGACGGATGGCAAAATATGAAACAAGTAAAGGTCAAGATGATGCTCCTAAAAGTAATTTACTATTAGTAGTATGTTACAGTGAGAGGACCTGACTTTTATCTGTACATTCAATGTGAGATCCTTATGGAACAATCTGTCCAACCCACCCCAGTGGCTTGTGTAGTCCTCTGTATTGCACAAGATCAATGAATTGGTCGGTCCCAAGGAGACTGGAAGTATATGAGAAAGAACAGATAGCAGAGCAGAATAGATAATTTGGAATGCTTTCCACAAAATGCTAGGGAATTAAATACTCTCACAAGTAGATACGGAACTTTTTTTTCAGTATTTTCCCATTCACATATTCCACCTACGAAAAGCAACTCTAACAGCAAAAGCTTTTTTCCTCCTACATATTTGAGATCATTACATAAAGAAAGCAAATGAGTTATTTCTATTTTTGTTATAAAGGAAATAGTGTGATGAATGGCTGTATGAAAATACAGATTAACAATGAATAATAAATAACAAAGGTGAAGTATAGAAAGAAGGAGAATAAATCAGTAAGACAATGTCATTGTCTGTGGTTGCTATAAAATTGCCTTTCAGGTTATAATTTTCTATTAACATATTGAATAAGTATAGTCATATAGAGGACAGCAGCAAAATTATTTTCTTGAAACACTTAAAAGTAAAACATTTTTCTCATCTGAATGTATCTCATGTAGCTGTGTATCCAGAATTTTAGAATTACCAAAGAGAGTGCTAGAGGACTACCAGCTATTTCACCCTGATTTCAAATTCTGCCTTTGAATTCCTATATACTGGTAATTTATATTCTGTAAAAACTAAAACGTTCATCTTAATGTTACACTCAAATGGCATTTTTTAAAAAGCTAATGTTCCAAAAATGTCTATTTGGCTCAAAGTAAATCAAAGCAAATATTGCCATGAAGCCTTGATTTAATCCATTTTTCTCATTTGAGTTTGACAACAGAAACTCATGTGCATTGAAGATAATGCTTTCAAGAAGAGACAAGTTAAGGAGATCTTGAAAGGCTCATGGAAAAACAACAGATATGAGCTTTGTGGTTTGGATTTAAAAGTTTTCAGCAACAAAACCTATGGAAAACTTAAGGATAACTTAGGAATAATGTAAACAATCAAACATTAAAAGGAGTAAGATTTTCAAAATAACCCAATTTTTCAATTTATAATTTCTATTATATAAATTCAATGCATTTGTTAAAAAAATAAAAACACCAATGATAGCAATATGGAGAGGATGAATTATTACATGAATTTAGAACAGTACAAATCTATAGGGTCTACTATAGTATAGAAAATTCCACAGGGTGAGGAAGACCTAGTTGTCTGCGTATGGTCACCTGATTTTTCAGTGTTTTCCTGGAAAGGTCAGGTTGGCAGAATTACCCGTGTTGCCTACCAACACCATGATGAGGAAGAATTCCTTCTTAATGAATTTCATTCCTAGCACTTTGCAACTCAAACCTAGATTGCCATCTGAACTGTATAAGTAACTCCCTCACTTCTACACATTAATGCTACTTTCTATATCCTGAAAAAGGTGTTTCCTTTCTGAGGAACTCCCCGGCTATGCTTTCATCTCTAGGCTTAGCAATTTTTAATTGTTACTGGTCACGCAATGCAACCTGGAATCTTCAGCTCATTCCGTACACATGGCTACATACCAGAGCTTTGGTACTCTACAATGACTCTCCCTTTCCAGAACTTTTTTCAAAATCCTACTTCTTATCTTAAGATCTCAAGTATTATCAGAGCCTGTTTTCCTGTCTTGTCTTCCTCTAGGAAATACTGCTTAGGGGACACATGAAGTTTAGCAGTAAAGTGCATCAGGCTTGCTTTCTTTGATCAATGAAAGATGATCAATACAGCTACAGATTTGATTACATTTTTTTTCTCAGATGCAACTAGCCTGTGCTGATTGAGTCAAGAAGTAGCTCAGAATTAAGTACCATGAATTTTAGTTCTTTTTTTATGGAAGAAAATTTATACACAAGGCATCTAGATACCACCAAGACCAGAGCGATCATGTCTGCTTATATGTACAGACACCATGAATTGCAGCCATGCAACATTTTACTACGGCTTTTGTAACCACAGTTTGCATACAACTTATCAGTGCTACCAACAGACAATGTCTGCAGTTAAAATCTGTAGCATTTCATGCTCCTCAGTGAAGTGGAAAGTATACGCAAGCTGACAATTTTTGGCTGAGGCTTATATTTATTTCAGCAAACCAACCAGAATGTGACATATCTTTCAGTTCACTAAGTGGCCTTCCACTAGCTGCCAACTGATGCAGTCTTTTTGTACATTTTTAAAATCAAGTCATGTTCCTTTGAATTACACAGACAATGTTTGAAACCAGTATACAATGTTTCTAAATTCTAAGAGCTGTTTGTTTTTGCATGATATTAAACAAAAATACAGATATTTAGTGTGGCTGAAATGAATGCGTGTGTGTTACATAAGCAGGTTCTTTCTCTCACTCTCATATACACACATACACATACATCTCTATATGTGAACATACAGATACCCCTATATACTTTTTGGCTCTTAATCCTCAGCAGGATATCATAAACGCACGTGATGTCTCCTAGTCCTAGACTGTATGTTCAGATGAAATGTGCAATATAACAAGTAGACAGGAGGCTCCCTCTTTGCCCTCTCTCTGAGGATGCTGCTATGCATTGTTTGTTCTAGCAAATACCAGCACGGTTCATGAACTTTATTTTACTCGGTAAATTTGGGATATCTACACTTAATTTCAAGAGGAGCACTGCTCATACGAGGAAATAAAATATACTATTTGGAGATGTTCAAAATACAACATTGTTGTACTCCTTATAGAAAATACCTCCAGTTTTTTTTAGTGACAAGATTAAACAGTGATACAGAAGACTTTTCTATAGCTTAGGGACACCACATGCTTTAGAAAAACATTATAACTGAATTTGGGAAAAAACAGAAAACAATGCCATACATACACTGGCACTAAGTAAGCCTGGTCTGTGTTTGAAAAAGAATTAAAATGAAGCAAGTATCTGTTGAGCATTCTCCCAGACAGCTCTGCGCCCTTGAACAGACAACTGTCAATACTTGATACACCAATGAAGAAACGGCCTTGTTGTATTAGTTTACTCTTAAATTGATTTTAGTTGGAAATATAGTTTTTTCTTTCCTTTTTTTCATTTAATAACGTAACACTATTTGATGGAAGAATATTGTAGTCTCAATATTTATAGTTGTTTAATTTCTTGTAACGTCAGGTCATAAAGGATCTTGTAGGTAAAAAATAAGTTCTTACCTACAAGAACGCAAATACACACAAAAGAAAATATTGACCATTACATATCTTCTATTACCCAATAGTATCCCTTGCATTACAATAGCATATTCTGATCTCTGTAGAAGATATTAAAATATACAGTCAAAAAACAGAGATCTAGAAGCACTTACATTTGCAATGTGATCACTTCCACTAACACAGACGACATCTTGTTTTTGAATTGTTAATACCTCTTTTGTAAGCTTCAGTCGGATGTCATAGGCATTTTCAGATACTTCGTCATACAGCAATGCAATACCAGTTTTAGTCTGTGAAAACAAGGCACAGAAAGAGAAACAAAGATTTTAATTATGTGAACACTTCACAGTGATAAACAATAACTGCTATCCCATTCAATACACAAAATGTATATAACAAAGCATTCTTTATAAAAAGTGGGAAACGGGTCTGTTTTTAGACTTCCAATGGATTAAACATAAAAAGCCTCTTCTGTACTGTAAAAAGATGGCTAAATGGTCTTTGAAGTATGTTTTAATATGTAAAAATATATTCCCATTGTACTGTTTAACAAAAGATTTTTTTGGCTGTAGCAAATTCTATTTATTTTTAATCATACAGCTTACTATGAATTTGTATTAGAAGCAGAATGTATGTACGTGTATATGTATGTATGTATGCATAGGCACTTCTCAGTTTCAGCAAGAGGTGGAGAAGTGTAATATTGTTACTGACTCAAAGTTGTTCTTTCCACTGACTCAGGAAAAAAAATCTATATCCTTCATAAATGTTACCTTTAAGATGCAGAGTTCTATTACGGTACAAAACTGTTTTCATGCAGTAAAACAGACAAATATATTGCAAAGATATAGGTGCTACAGGTTTCAATTTGCTTTAGTCAAATAGGTATATATTTCTGAAGTTACATCATTACAATAATATTAAATTCTATTGGTAGTCTAGTATTTTTGTATTAAAAAAGGTAAAATCTAAAAAGATATCTTGTAGCCAGAAGAAATAATTATCTTCAAAGTTTTCTATGTGACTAATAGAAAAGAAAATCTGTTTTGACTTTTGGTTTACTTACATATGCACAGATTTCCTACTAAACTGGAATTCAGAATGCTATAGCTATTTGTTAAAACAAGCAGATTAGTATAATTTCAGAACTTTACAGTCATTGCACAGAAGAGAAAGATTAAAGCACCTGTTCTGAAAATAGATTGTCATATTTGAGAGTAATATTTGTTTATTAATTTATAATGTTTGTAACAGTACCATCAGACCACTGTGCACTTTTCTCTGTGTAATGGAAGAAATCAAAAAAAAAAAAAAAATTAAGATTTAGCTGCAATTTTTTTTAAAGACTTTTAAATCAAATCACTCACCTGTGTATTTTGTTTTTATTTCATTAAATAGCAGACTATGCAAAGTACGGAATAATGGCATTAAAGGAGAAACCTGTGCACTGAATGGATGTTCCTCAACTGATATAAAAGTAAAATAAAAAATGGCATACGACCTTTATAACAATATTTTCATTACTAAAAAGATTAAGCAGAGAGTTCTCTGGTGATTGTTAGTAAAACCTTGTGGTCTTTAAAGGTGGGATCTGTTCAAGCTTAAGGCACTTATATTTAGATGTCATGTAGCTCTATACAGAAAGAAAGTGCCAAAGCATGCACTACAGTCCACGGAAATGGAAAATGCAGCCTAGATAGCAATTCAATTTACCTTAAAGTATACATACGAATTGCTTAGTTGAACTGCTCATCAGGTTCTCATTAGTGCCGCATGTAGGCCACTGCTGTTATTCAAGGCACTTTAGGATATCCAAGACAACCTATACATGTATGTGGCCCTATAGGAAAACCAAGTCCTAGCTGGAGGCTTGGCCAGATCTCCATGGTTATAATGAGATGCAGACATCTATCATGCTAGTAGATATCTATATGTGGATTTTTTATGCTTGAAATTAATCTCACCACAAAGGTTTACAATGTAGAAATTCACATCTAGGACAGCCATTTGGATTCTGTAAAGCCAGTGGTAAGAAATAAAACTTCTGGAACATGATTTATTCAATCTCTTCTATGCACCCATCTAAAATGAAGCAAATTGCATCATAGCTCTCTACTTCCACTTTAGAAAATAAATATAAATGACAACCTAGACACAGGTGTCAAATTCTGAACAGATGAATCATGCCCCCAGTGTCTGCTAGGAATGCCTGAAGGAAAAAAAAATGTTCAGTGAGGGTGTAAATTTTAGTTATTCTCACTTGTTTGTAAACTGACATTTCTTTATATTCCCTAAGTTTCAATACTTCAAAATTTCCAGTACGATCAGATGATTTATCAATAAAATGTTATACATAACAGGATATGAAAACTATGTTAACACCATCTGCTTAACAGCTATGCTCTATAAGAGCAAATATTTTCAAATAGCAGAATTGCCTTGCAAAATCACCTTACCCACATTTTGCTGCTGTTCAAAGGTTCTGCATCACTATTTCACTCAGCCTGGCAATCATTGTTACTTTGGCTGATATGCCAGAATATGCTTTACAGAAACGTCTTGAGAGAACAGAACTCTACAGAATACTTTATATAATCTAAAATCAGAACATTCTACTGGCTAGTAATTGTTACACATGTTTAGAAGTAACACAATGAAAAAAACCGAACTTTTATGTGTAACAGTCCATCAAATAATGAATGAAACATATAGAGTACATGATTAAATATTTTACCATTTTCTATCACGCTATTTAAACTGAAAGTCACTGAAGCTCATCTATTCCTATTAAAATAAATACTACCTCACACTTCCATCTAACTTTCGATGTGATCTAAGATGGCATGCAGCAATACCCTATTTGCTTTCAGAATTAGGAAGATTAATCTAGATTTCTTTCAGCCTTTCAAGTATGCTTTTTTAGATCATTTTAAATGATTGTGAATTAGAATTCAGAGCATTCACCTGTTCTGTCTTTGTATTAAAGAGGTGTTACAAGTAACTGTATATTCACTAAGCAATTCCAATCTGCACAAAGTGTTTCTTCAAATAAGAATATTTTAATGGGAATTTAATTTTTGCATGTACTTGTATACACAATATTTAAACTATGCTGGGTTTGTCTCAATTTCTCTTTTAAAAAGTTTCTTTATAAAGTAGCTGTTCCAATAACTGATATCAGAAAGTGAGATGTGAAGAGTAGAAATGTATCCTAAAAATGATATAGTAATGTTAGAGATCAAATTCGCATGTGCTTTGTAATGAAGAATGCACACAGTGCCTAGAGAGCTGCATCTCAATAGGATTTAGGTGCTTATAGTGAGAAGTAGAATGTGTGTTTAAATTAATTTGGGCAGATGAGGAAATTAAATGTTGATCACCATACCAGTAAACACCATACTGTTAAGTTTTCTAGACATTAGCCTCAGGAAAAGAAAAGCATATGTGTGCGCAGAGAGAGGAAGAGAAAACGGAGAACAGTAGCACGTACCTCACACTAATCGTGACATTTGAGAAAGTTTAGTCACTATCCTATCTTTGAAAGACAAAACACTGAGGCTTACTTTCTTGAGCAAGCTCAAAAACTGTCAATGCCGTACAGAAGAAAACAGCACTTTCTAGAGGCAGCTAGAATTTTTCATGTAACCTTTTATCAGACTTTTATTGTTCACTACTTAAGGCAGCTAAGTCAAGTCAGTGTACTTGCTTTAGAGTCTCCCTGTTCGGCATAATATTTTGGGACCCTACTCAAACTATCATAAATTCTTTCAGTGCACTGTATCTGCAGCCTAAATGTCACAGCTGCGATTTCTGTTTCAGAGTAGACATTTATAGGCCAAACTTTGGTGTCAATGGCATAAATATTTGTCTTCATTACTGTAAGTTTAATTTCGAAAAATCTTGCAAAAAATTAGGCACACATAAAGTGTAAAAGCGATGTTGAGGTATACTAGGTCTTTTTTCTAGAAACTATTTACTCGTTTGCATCTAATTGCTTCTCAAACATAACACTGGATTAGAGCAACGATTTTCGGGCTGTTCATGCTAGTAACTGTTTTACATTAAAAAAAAAACAAAACTCTTTTACTGGAATTAGAAAGTAGAAGTTCTCAGTAACTCAAAACTTCTCTCTCTTCTTCCCTCTGCCTAAATGGCTTTTATCATTTGTGGTCACTACTGCGGCCAACTGAATGGCGCATCAGTATCTTTAGACCCATATGAAAATGTATCCTCTAGAGTTTCCCTTATTGTATCTAAAAAATCCTCTGCTCTAGTGCACTGAGTTATACTGATTCACCAGCAGAAATCGCCATTTGCTGATCTTTATTCTTAATAAAAATATTTATGGCTTCAATGACACAGCAGTTTGATTTTCAACTGCTAAAAATACAATACATTTCTAAATAAGCTTTCTTTATTGGCAAAGAAATTTTTTTTAGCATCATATTTGAACTTAACTTTAACTTTTTAAAAGTGAAATTCCACATTATAAATAAAAATATTTTAACAATAATTCTTATATCTCAGAAACAGTGATTGTAATACAATTTTGAAAGTTTTCTTGAAAATTTAACTATGTTGAAATTCCATATTCAGAGAGAACTTTAGGTTTGCTGTCTGCCCCACAGTCAGTGCTCTGACCACTAAGTTAAGGCAGACTTAAATTTACTCTCTTATAACTGTTGTGATGTATTTTATATGCAACTTCTACTATTGTGATCACAAGACAAAGGAAGGCATTTTCTCAGAACAGCACAGAACTCAAATTTGAAATGACCTTGACTAATACAAAAAAGATATAAAAAAATGGGATGAAGCACAACATAAAGAAAGTGGAAGGTACTACACTCTAGGAATAATAATCAGCTGCATGTAATTGGGAGAACTTGTACCATTTCTTCAGGAAAGGAAACAGGTAACCGAGAATCAACAGCAAAATATCAGTGTCAATAAAGGCAAACGTAGATCATTTCTGTTGCTCTAGTTCTGGTTCTCTCTAACTGATTTGCTTCCCTCCCCCAGCAAATGACAGTGCCCAAAAGAGAACATAGCACTCCAGCTCTGTAGTACAAAATGTTCCTCAACAGTGCTGAATACAAGGGAAGATTACTTCATGTCCATGAAGTAATCCATTACCACAGTGTTGTATTTAATACATCCCAGTGAATTGTTTCTTTTTATACAATATTATGACAGTGTTGATTCATGGATACACTACAGAAAAGAAATAATGAACAGAAAAGAGTTAGGAACAAAATAAAAATTAAAAATGATCAGAGATCTGG